AAGTGTCTGCTCACATCTAGGAGGAAAGTAGGAGGGACCTGTTCCCTTTTACTTCTGCTTGTTGTAGCCCTACTGACTTGTGTGGAATGCAGGGAGCTACCAAGTGGTGTGAGGTGACTTAGTTCTGGCCTTGACATCTTACAGGGCGGCAGCTCCTTTCATAGGGAGGTTGGTTGCAGCTCCGCTCTAACCTCAGAGCTGTCTCTGCAGTCTCTGCAGTGGAGCCAGATTCCCAGCCAGCTGGCTCTTTTCTGTGCAGTTCCTGGGATTGTCCAAACTGGTGGACCCGTGAACAGGCCCAAGGGGTGCAAAATGGAAAGGAAATCTATAGCTACAGAACTCACCACCACCACCACCACCACACACACACACACACACACACACACACACACACGGCACGGTTGCCCCATTCCTTTGAAAAGGGAAGAAGCCAGAATATATGATGTGGCCAGCTGTCTGGACTCTTAATTAGAGTGTTGAATCTAAGGAATGGGGCAAGTTGGGGAATGGATGCTCATGGCTGTTGGTGGGAAGGACAGGGAAAGTTCCAACTCTAAACATAGGGATAAAAGGCATGAGCAGAAATGATCTTTGACTTGGGAGACCACCCTCTCCTCTTTTTTTTTTTTTTAACCACTGACTTATGAAAATTTTATTTTTTTAAACTCATCTTTATTGTTGAATGTATTACAGATGTCCCCCCTTTTTTGCCCCATTGACCCCCTCCTTCCCAATCCCACCCCCCTCCTGCCTTCCCCACACCATTGTCAGTGTCCACTGGTTATGCATATATGCATAGAAGTTCTTTGGTTTATCTCATCCCGCCCTTCCTCCCCCTTCCCTTTGAGGTTCATCAGTCTAATAATCAATTTGTACTTCTTAATTCCTTCATCTTTTTCACCCACTTCTCAGCTCCCACCCATCTGGCAAGCAACAAAAAGTTCTCTGTATCTATGAGTCTGTTTCTGTTCTGCTTACTCATTTTGTTTGTAGATTCAACTATTGATAGATATGTATTATTTGCCATTTTATTGTTTATATTTTTGTTCTTCTTCTCTTTCAAGAAGATCCTTCAACATTTCATATAATATTGGTTTGGTGGTGATAAACTCCTTTAGTTTTTCTTGTCTGGGAAACTCTTGATATGTCCACTGCTTCTAAATGATAGCTTTTCAGGACAGAGTTATCTTGGTTGTAGGTCATTGCTTTTCATCATCTTGAATATCTCTTACCACTCGTTTCTTTTGAGAAATCAACTGACAGTCTTATGGGAGTTCCTTTGTAGGTAACAAACTGCTTTTCTCTTGCTGCTTTTAAGATTCTCTCTTTGTCTTTAACCTTTGGAATTTTAATGATGATGTGTCTTGGTGTGAACCTTTTTGGGTTCATGTTGTTTGGGACTCTCTGTGCTTCCTGGACTTGTACAGTCAGCCCTCGTTTATTGCAGTTAATCAGTTCCAGACTCTACTGCGATAAATGAATTTCCGTGAAGTAGTATTCTTTATTTATAAATTGAATATTTTCACAGAGCATAGAAAACTTGTTTATGACCTTCTAAATATGTTTTTTAACATTATTAGAGCCCTTTAGACATGAAATAACACCCTTTAGTCACCATGACACTCTTATTACCCAATATACTAGACAAAATAAGAGAAAATAAGACATATTAGATGTTATAAACATCACATTATTATTGTACATTTAATTACACACACAAATTCTTACACACAACCACTAACCTATGAAAATAGTGCAACTTGTTTGATGATGAAGTGATGAAGATGAAGAGATGTACTGCACAGCAAAGAAGAACAAGGTTACTGCTCCTCTGAAGGCACAACCTCAGTAGGAGAGTGCAGTATCTTCAGCAGGTGCGTCGTCATCTTCTTTTGCTGAAGGAGTATTGGGAGTAGGCAGTGGGTGTCTGGGTGCGCTGCTGAAGGACATCGTGGTAGGCAGTTGCTGGCACTGTGTTTTCATATGCATGAAGAAGCTTTTGTGGGGTTCTATGGCTCCATCAAGTGCATTCCAAAACCGCAATGCACGCATCATTTATGGGTCTGACTCGCCAATCATGTCGTGTACCTTAATAGTTCTCACGACTTGTGAGAGATGCTCAAGTATAAGGCCAACTTCCTCCTCCTGACCCCCAGGAACCTCTGGCTGCTCTTCCTCCTCCTCACTCGCAGACTTGGTCATCTCCACCAGATCCTTGTCAGTTAAGGGATCCGAATGTGTCTCCAGCAGCTCATCCATGTCACCGCGGGCCATATCCGTGAAACCTTCTCCTCCCAACATCCAGACTAGCCTAACTGCCTTATCCACTTCCGAGTTGCTTATATCCTCTGGGATGAATCCTCTGTAGTCGTGGACAATTTAAGGCCACAACATCTTCCAGCTGGCCTTCACGGTCTCTGTCTTTATGTCCTTCAACATGGCCTGGATGTTCTTCAGACAGGTTGCAATGGTATACTGCCACCAGTACACCTTCAGCAAGAAGTTCTCCTCAAGGTCCATGTTTTCAGCAAGGTGCTGCAGGGTGTCTTGTGTGTAAAGAATCTTTAACACGTGAATAACACTTAGATCCATGGGCTGGATCAGTGAAGTGGTGTTGGGAGGAAGGAACTCTATTCGCACACTGTCATAGGATAGGTCTTGAGCATGACCTCCAGCATTGTCCATGAGGAGAAGGACATTAAACTTGAGTCCTTTCTCCGTGAAATACAACTTGACTTAGAGGATGAAGTACTTGTGGAACCAGTCCCATGATAGTTGCTTCGTGATCCAGCCCTTGTCATTGTGCATCCAATGCACCAGCAGCAGGTTCTTGTTTTTATTCTTCAGGGCCCTAGGGTTCTGGCCTTGTGGATAAGGGCAGACTTGAGCAAAAATCCCTCAGCATTTCCACACATAACAATAGTCACGTGGTCCTTATACGCCGTGAAGCCACAAACCTTGGCCTCATCCTTAAAACGAATGTCCAGGAAGGCATTCTTTTCCAGAACAGTCCTGTTTTGCTCATATTGAACATCTGTTCTGCATGATACTCACCCTCCTCAAGGTTCTTCTGGAACGTGTTGTTCACGTAGTCCTCTGCTGCAGGCTGGTCAGCAGAGGCAGCTTCTCCGTGGAGAATGACACTGTTCAGATGATACCTCTTCTGGAACTTCTCAAACCAACCCTTGCTCACCGTGAAATCCATGAACATTGCAGAAGAGGGTCCTGGTTGAGGTTTGTCCTCCATAAAGCACTGATAGAGCTGCCTCGCCTTCTCCCGGATGGCCAGGGAATCCAAAGGAATGTTTTTCTTGTGGCTGTTGCTGATCCAGACAGCTAGGGCAGACTCCGTTTTCACTATGAACTTATTACGACTTGTCACGATGCTCTTTGTTTCCTTGTTGAAAGAGACAGTAGCCATTGCACAGATGTTCTTTTTATCGTTACAAATAGAGCGTATGGTAGACTCATTCAAGTCATAATGGCGGGCAACCTCCACAATTTTCTTGCCATCTTTGATCATATCCAAGAGTTTCACCTTCTCCTGGATGGTAAGCTTCTTCCTCAGGCGCTTAGTTTCATCGTCAGAAGGCTTAGAGGAAGCAGCACATTTAAGAGCCATCGTGGGGCTTAGATAGAAGTTCTCAGAAATTTCAAACATTTACAAGAGCAAAGATGCTTCCTATGCATAGCAATGTAGAAGCGTGTATGAGAGAAACGAACTTGCATGAGGCTGAGCCAATCAGTGGCCTGATAGGAAGAGGTTAGGATAGCCAGTCAGTGAACAGCATGCTCTGATTGGCTTGGTTTCACCACACCCGATATTTGGGAAAAAGTTATTGCCCACACACAACGAATGGTTGAGCGGTTGTACATGGCATTGAAGGATTTGCGGGCTGCTCAAATACATAGGCCTACAGTCCATACATACAGTAATTTAATTTTAATTGTAATACAGGGGTGTATAATTGACTCAGGCAACCGAGTGCATGCTGTATCATTTTCACTGTCTCGATCAACTCTTTAATGAATATATTTTTTAAAAAACGCAATAGAGTGAAGCCGCAAAAGTCGAAGCACGAAGTGGCGAGGGACAACTATATATGTTTCCACTCTTTTATATCTTCCTCTATTTCTGTTTTTAATGACCTGTTGTTCTCTGTGAAAAGGTCTGTTACTTCTTTAGTTAAGTTTATTCCTAGGTATCTTAATTTTTTTTGCCGCAATGGTAAACGGGATTGTTTTTTTAGTTTCTCTTTCTTTGAGTTCATTATTGGTGTATAAGAATGCCGTTGATTTCTTGACATTAATTTTGTATCCTGCTACTTTGCCAAGTCCATTGACTAAATCTAGTAGATTTTTGAAGGAGTCTTTAGGGTTTTCTATGTACAATATCATGTCATCTGCAAATAATGACAGTTTCACTGTATGTCTGTTTCCTTCACCAAGTTAGGGAAGTTTTTTGTCATTATTTTTCAAATAGGTTTTCAATTTCTTGCTCTTGCTCTTCTCCTTCTAGTATTCCCATAATACAAATGTTGGCACGCTTAAAGTTGTCCCAGAGGCTCCTCACACTATCCTCTTTTTTTACTCTTTTTTTTTTTTGCTGTTCTGATCGGGTGTTTTTTGTTTCCTTATATTCCAAATCAAAGGTTTGCTTCTTGGCTTTATGTACTCTACTATGGATTCCCTGTCAATTATTCTTTATTTCCATTAGAGCATCCTTCATTTCTGACTGTTGATGTTGTTGATGTTCTAAGTCTCTTGGAGGTCTCCTTAAGTTCCTTGAAGGTCTCACTAAGTCCCTTGAATGTCTCACCAAGTTCCTTGAGCAACCTTATAACCAGTGTTTTGAACTTTGCATCTGATTGATTGCTTATCTCCATTTTGTTTAGTTTTTTCCTGGAGTTTTGCTCTTTTCTTTCATTTACACCCCCTCCTCCTTAGATGCCCTGTCTGATCTCATTAGCTCTCTCCCATCCCATTATCCATCTGATGCCTCCTCACCTGCCTTAATTCTCTCAGCTCGTTGCCAGGGCGTGCAAGCTCTCCCTTCCAGGATGGCAGCTGACAAAAGGATCAAGGTGTTCTTGGGGCACCGTGATGTGGGTAGTCATACCGTTCCCAGTGCTTCCAGAGACAAAGGAAAACCATATAAGGATAAAGTGTCAGGCAGGTTGGAGAGAAATTTCTGGGCCACATGGCTTCATGTTGCTCTTCATATCACAACCCAGGTGAAGCCTGTTCTTTTCATAAGGAGGAGGGAAGTGGGTATAAAATTAGAAGCAGCTCACCCTGCAGCCTGAAGAACCCTCCGTGCCTGAACCTCAGAGGCATAGGTCACCCTTCTGAAACACGTCTTCATCTATCCTTATTTCCAAATCTTTGTTTTCATACATGAAAATCTTTAGTTTTGCAGAAACATTGGGAAATAGGCCCCCAAAATACAGTCCAGGCCATTCAAATTTATATGTTCCTTTTTTTCTGACTTTAATTTAGGGCAATTCATGCATCACAGATTGCTTCGGCCCCCCTCCAAGACCCTTCACCTGTGGCTGTGAGCAAATTATTTCCAGTTCCTTTTCAAAAATAAAAGTATCCTAAAAAGATGCAGTGGTCAGCTAAGACACTATGGTTTTTGGCTTGCATTTGACAAGGGTATTTTTACGGTAAGCATTCCTCGTTTTATTTAGCTTGGGAAGATGATCCACTTCCCATAGAATGAAAACCCCAAAGCATTGTTTCACAAGAATAGTCTTAAGTGCTTATGTCCGAATGACCTGGGGAACTGGTCAGCATGCCAGTTCCTGGACTAGGAATATGATTATACGGGTACTGATGCCTGAGAACTTCTGGACTTACACTTCTAACACTTGTTGTCTCTCTTGAGAGTGGCAACTCCATTGGGGTGACAAGTTATCCTGGCTGTCTTTTGGGGGGAGTTCCATAATAAATGCTGGCAGGAAGGCCCACCATGCTCTGGGCATTGGGAGAACAGAGCAGTGACAAGTCCATGTTCATCAACAGAGCCTCTTGCCTTGTGCTGCCTAGAGACCTCCCACCCAGACCTGCCACTCAGCCAGGGACATTTAAGCCTCATCGTGCCTGTGGGTAGGTCCTGGAGTAGCCTGGCCCTACAATTATGAAGCCAACCCCTCCAAGAACTCCCCATCACTCCACCATTCTCTCTTCACCCTTGAGGCTGATGGAAATATCCCTGAGAACACAGGCTACAAAAAAATGCATCCCAACTACCAAGAACTTAAATCATCATCATCAACTAGGACTAAACAAAATCATACTGGGAAGGAGCATGGTCTGTTCAAATTCCAAATCTGATTCAAATAGCTGTGTGGTATCAGACAGATTGCTCTACTTCCCTGCGCTTCCACTTCCTCAACCCACAAAACAGGGTTACTAAAAGAATCCGACTCTTAGGATGGTTGTAAGAATTAAATGTGACAACGTGCGTCCAGTTCTTACCACCGAGTTAGACATATAGCAAGTGCTCAGCAAACACCACAGCTTGCTAGGATGTCTTTGTGCTAGTTATAAAAAAATGCTGTCCTCCTTTGGGTAGACGTTAGAAAATATGCCCCTTCCTCTGTCTGGCTCAGGCTGCTGCCAGGTCTCTCGGTGAGCAGAGTACCCCTCCACCCCAAATGCTGGCCACCCATAACACTGAACGGGAGAGGCTGTCACTAGACGTTAGCTACAGCAATTACACGTGAGGGTGGTAGTGAGGGTGGCAGCGAGGGCGGCAGTGGGAGCCACCCTAAACATCCTGGCAGGCCTGGCAGATGTCTGTGGGGGCCCCAGCCGAGGCGGGTCGCTGCATCTCATTTCTCAGAAGAGCAGTGCCGTGCTCAGCAGACATTCATCTTGATAAATTTCAGGGAGAACAAAGGCAGGCAGACACTCGGAATTTTCCTTTTCTGGGCTTGGAACCAGCTGATCATGCTTCCTGTTTCTTTAAGAGCTTCCCTGACACAGGCCATTTGGCTCTTTCAAATTTGGTCATCGCCCTGTCGCTTTCCTGTGTGAGTCAACCTGGCTGCCCTTGTGCACTCCGGCTCCCTCGTCTGTGCTCCCCTGGCCTCCCCAGGTAATCCCCCTCAGCCAGGCTGCGTGTCCCCGCCCACGCCTCTGCCTGGGACGCGCTCAGGAGACGTGAGTCACTGCACGCTGCTCCCGGCTGAAACTATTATTGGAATGCCTCTGCACACAGCGCGCTGCTTCCCAGATTTCACAGACCTGTGCTCAGGGATCTGCCAATCACACTCCTCTGCGCCAGTTCCACTTGGGGTGATCACGAGGTGGAAGTCAGGAGGTTTCCATGAAAGGTCTCTAGCCAGCATTCAGCGTCCGTCCACAAACATCTAGGGCCTGCGTGTCTCCAGCCTTGTGCCCGCCTTCACGGGTGGCTCAAAAGAAATCGTCCTGGGGTTCTGCCTTAAGTTTAGAGGAAAGCAATCATCTGAAAAGCAAGAAGGCACACTGCGAACGGGGGATGGGGCAGGAGAGAGCTGTTGGGGCAGACACACCTCGGGAGTTAAACCCGGGAGGGGACATTAGGAGAGGCAGAGGACTGGGAGGACAGCGGGAGAAGACCGGAGGTGAGAGCTCCGACAAAGATGAGGACAGGAGAATGAGTTGGGCTTATTCATATGAACCTCAATATTGAGCCAAACTGCAATTTTGAAGATCCTGCTCCTCTACCATGCTAGGGTGATTGATAACCTATATTGGCAGTGTATTGACTGTTGCCAGGTAGTACACCTGCCACGAACCCTGTCTCCCTTTTACAGATGAGGGAACCCAGGTGCAGGGAGGTAAGTCCTGAGCTCGTGGCCATGCAGCCAGCAGGAGTTAAGTACATGCCCAAGCAGTCTGCCTCCTGAGTGTTAACCTCTGCGGCTCAGAGTTTTTTGTTTTTTATTTTTCCAGATGGATATTTGAACGCAGGGGTGATGAGTTCAGTTCATTGATCCCTTGTTAACCTCTGATGCGATCCCACGTCTTATATGTTGGAAGTTGATTTATGCCCAGCAGGTGGGGGTCTCGGAATGTTCTGGCCCCTGTTTCGGGTCGGATTACCTGTGGTCAAAGCATGGGTTCTGCGTTCAGGAACCCTGATTCACGTTGGCCTGGCGCTGGCTGAGTTCCTGAGAGACATTGAGCAGTTCACTTCCTTGTTTTCCCTATTTGACAGAAACATGAGAACATGAGCATGATGAAATGAAGTCCTTTGGCTAGAGCATTTTTAGATTCTCGGAAATAAAACCAAAAAGGGAAAAGGCAGCTCCAGGGGCAGCGCGGAGGAGGATCCTGGAAGCGGCTGCAGGTGGGCTGTCAGAGCTGCCGAGCGGTAGGCGTGCAGCAAGAACAACAGAGAGAGGAGACGCACCTCTTCAGTCTGTGCACACGCAGCGTCCCAGGATGCCTGGGAGCTGCCTGTCACTTCCTTCCCCAGTGACAAGGGACAGGGAAGGGAGCCAGTGGCTCACTTCACCTGGCAAATTGGTGCTGGTACAGGACTCTTCCATAAATAAAGGCTGATAAGTCGTATTTTATTCCTAGGTGCAAATCTTAGACCCCAAGTCTCTCTCCTTCCCCAAGAGTGGCAACCTTGCAAAAGTGCAGAGAAAAGCCTGCTTTTTTCGGTCTGCTGCTTGAATGCAGCTATTCGAGTCAACATGGTGGAGGAGGCTACCTTTTCCCCTCACAGATTGGCCAGGGTGGAGCTTGGGACTGGCAGAGAAGTAGAAGTTTGGGGCACCCTTTTATTCCTTGATCTGAAAGGGAAAACTTATACTTCTGCAGTTAGGACAAGCTGAGGGAGACTGGAAGATTCCCCAAAGGACAGCTAATTATAAACAGGGTTACTGAGTTCTCTGCCCACCTCCTCTCAGAGTTGTCCAAGGATGCACGTCCCAGCCACCCGCCTACACCTCCCCAGTCCAGCAAAACCTGGTCCAAAGGATGAAGGGTGCCTGTCTGAACTTAGGCTGATCACATCAGACGCTTATTGAACACCTAGAAAAGGCTGGAAACTTCTCATAATTCTCTCAGCCTCCTTTGAGAGAGGTCATGTTACTACCCCCCCACCCCTTTTTTTCCAGATAAGAAAACTGAGTCATAAAAAAGCCTTTGAAAGCCATCTGATTTAAAAGCTGTTACTTTAATAGGCCTCTAACGAATAGACATCTTCAGTGATAATATTAAATGATTTTTAACAAAATGAAGCTCTTCAGTTGATGATAATATCCAAAAAAAACCCAGCTTCATTGGGACGAAGATTAAAAAGAATGGAAAGCTTCCCAATGGGGTGTGTGTGTGTGTGTGTGTGTGTGTGTGTGTGTGTGATATGAAGAAAGGTTAGAAACAAAGGGAAGTGTTCATTCTCTAAGGCATTTGGTTGAATCCTTTTGTGGCTAAGAAGTGTTGCATTAGAACTACATATCTGGGAGAAAAAAGCATTTATAACCACCAGTAAGAACTCAAAATCACTGCACTGTTTTTGCCAAAGTAATATCACCAGATAACTGTGCTAAAAATCAACCATGTGGTCAGAGGTAAGGACACCCCAGAAACAGAATCTCCTGTTTGCACAGCCCTTCTTTGCTCTGCTTTTCTGGTTCTATATCTCCAAGTTACAGGAAGTTTCTCTCACATACCCTTGAGGATTTCAGACTTTTCAGTTTGACTTCTCTGAAAACCTCCCCCACCAATCCCTGCAAAATACAGAACTGGAACTGCTTCCGCCACGTCAGGTCAAAGTTCACATCAGGTCAGAGGTCTTCAGAAAATGGAATGATGTACTTTGAATACATACACAAAAACGTTGAAAAGGAGATGATTTAAAAACAAAAAATGTAGTATCCACAACTAAAAAATATTTTTATTAAGGTATAATTGATAGAACATTAGATTAATTTCAAGGTAATAAGTCAATATGTACATATGATAATTTTTTACATAAAATTAAAGCATATTTTTCAATTACAGTAGACATAACAATATTAGTTTCAGGTGTACAAAATAGTGGTTAGACATTTATTTGACTTACAAAGTGATCCCCCAATAAGTCTAGTAACCATATGGTACCATACATAGTTATTACAATATTGACTATATTCCCTATATTGTATTTTACATCTTCATGACTATTTTATAATTACCAATTTGTACTTCTAAATTCCTTTACCACTTTCATTCAGTCCCCCAACACCTTTCCTATCTGGCAACCATCACTTTGTTCTCTGTATCTATGACTTAGTTCCTGGTTTCACATATAACTGAAGCTATATAGTATTTCTCTTTCTCTGTCTGACTTATTTCACTTAGCATAACACCCATGCTGACACAAATGGCAAGATTTTATTCCTTTTTATTGCTGCGTAATGTTCCATTGCATCTAGGTACATCTTCCTCCATTCATCTATCAATAGACACTTAGGCTGCTCCATAGCTTGGCTATTGTAAATAATGCTGCAATAAAGATAGTGATGCATATATCTTTTTGAATTAGTGTTTTGGAGTTCTTTAGCTACATGCCCAGAAGTGGAAATGCTGGATCGAATGGTAGTTCTATTTTTAATTTTTTGAGAAACCTCCATACTGTTTTCTATACCCAGAAATGGAATTGCTCGGTTATATGGTAGTTCTATTTTTATTTTTTTAGTAAACCTTTATACTATTTTCCATAATGGGACTGTGAAATTTACATTCCCACCAATAGTGCATGAGGGTTCCCTTTTCTCCACATCTTCACCAACACGTGCTGTTTGCTGATTTATAGATAGCCATTCTGATAGGTGTGAGGTGATACCTTATTGTGGTTTTAGTTTGCATTTTCCTGATGCTTAGTAATGTTGCATATCTTTTCATAAAGTCTGTATGTCCTCTTTAAAGAAATATCTATTCAAATGAGCAGAGGACCAACTGCTCATTTTTAAATCAGATTGTTTCTTTGTTTTGGTATTAAATTGTATGAGTTCCTTATACATTTCGGATATTAATCCCTTATTAGATGTATCAGTGGCAAATACCTTCCTTCATTCAGCAGGTTGTCTTTTCATTTTGTTGATGGTTTCCTTTTGCTCTGCAGAAACTTTTTAGTTTGATGTATTCCCATTTGTTTCTTTTTTCCCCCTTGTCCAAGGAGACATATCCAAAAAAATATTGCTAAGTGCAATGTCACAGAGTTTACTGCCCATGTTTTCTTCTGGAATATTTATGGTTGCGGGTCTTACATTCCAGTCTTTAGTTCATTTCGAGTTTATTCTTGTATATGGTTTAAGAAAGTGCTCTAATTTCATTTTTTTAAAATATGTTTCTATTGATTTTTTTTTTTTTTTAGAGAGAGAGGGAGAGGAAGGGAGAGATAGAAGCTTCTTTGTGAGAGAGAAACATTGATCAGCTAGCTGCCTCCTGCACGCCCCCTACTGGGGATCGAGCCTGCATCCTAGCAAGTGCCCTGACCCAGAATCCAACCTGGACCTCTCAGTCCATGAGACAACACTCAATCCACTGAGTCACACTAGCCGGGCTAGTTTCATTTTTTTATGTCTGTCTAGTTTTCCCAAACCACTTGTGAAAGAGACTGTCTCTACTTCTTTGTATCATTGAATATTCTTGCCTCCTTTGTCATACATTAATTGACCATATGGACATGTGTTTATTTCTGGGCTCTCTATTCTGTTCTATTGATCTATATGCCTGTTTTTATGCCAGTGCCATGCTGTTTTGATTACTATGGCCTTGTAGTATAGTTTGGTATCAGGTAGCATGATTCTTCCAAGTTTGTTCTTCTTTCTCAAGATTGCTGTGGCTTTTCGGGGTCTTGTGGTTCCATATAAGTTTTAGAATTATTTGTTCTAGTTCTGTAAAAAATCCATTGGTATCTTGATAGGAATTGCATTGAATCTGTAGATTGCTTTGGATAGTATGGACATTTTAATGATGTTAATTCTTCCTATTCCTGAGCACAGTGTAGCCTTTCATTTATTTGTATATTCCTCAATTTCTCTCTTCAGTGCCTTATAGTTTTCCAAATAAAGGTCTTTCACCTCCTTGGTTAAATTTATTCCTCGGTATTTCATTCTTTTTGATGAAATTTTAAATGGAATTGTTTTCTTAATTTCCCTTTCCGATAATTCATTATTGGTATATAAAAATGCAACCCATTTCTGAATATTAATTTTGTATTCTGCTACTTTACTGAATTAATTAGTTCTAATAGTTTTTTGGTGGAATCTTTAGAGTCCTCTGTATATGGTATCATGTCATCTGAGGACCTGTACAATTCAAAGTGCACTGAGAAACATTCCAGTTCATCTTGTTTAAGTAATAAACACTGAAAGCCTCTTGTTTAGTGTTTTTCAAAAAAACTGTTAGCATTGTTGAGGTTGTTTTTTTTAAAAGATCCACTTCATACTCTGACTATTCATGGACCTTTCCAAAGCCTCAACAAAACAGAACTGTGAAAAAATATTCTTGACATGAACCCCAAATAAAACTTATCAGCAATATTTTGAACTGAATTTTGAAACAAATTCTGCAGTCACAAAAGTTGCAGAGAGGAGATCATTGGGCACAGCGATCACCCCTGCAAATCGGGCACCACCTCCTTCAGGGCACATGAGAGGCCAGATTAAATTGTATTTACTAGTTTGTGAATTTGTTTTCCATTCAGTTATATAAAACAAACTTACTATTTTTCCTCCCCTCACTATTGCCATTAAGCTTTTAAACTCTAACCAAATTGTAATACCTCTATTAGGAGGTAGATTTGGCTGTGCTGTGGCATGAATATTAATAGAAAGTTCATATGTTTCCAGTCCTGTAAAATGTGAAGAGTGTGTTTAGCTTTCCGTGTAAAACTGTATTGTTAAATATATGTGTGCGATCATTAAAACAAAAAAACAAGGACACAGGGATGAACTGCCGGAACATCCCTGCAGAAAGGGCTCTTAGACCAAGCATCCCTCCTTTCTCCTAATCAGAGAAAGTGCTAACTAGATAGAGAAACTAGAAGGTGTGGGGTCAGTTATATTCCTTTGAAAAGGTAATAAGAGACATTTGTAGGATTTCAGGGGGCAGGATGGAGACAAGAGGAACCTTCTGAGCCAGTTGTTTATTGTGTGGCTTCACGAGCTAGCGCGTGCATGTCCCAATGCGAGGAATGATATTCCAGGGTGAAAAAGAAAAAGAAAAAAATATATATATATGGGGGTTTTCCATTCTTTTGGATTTTCTAGGCCTCTGTTGGTTTCCATCATCCCTGATAACTCAGAGGCCATGGCATCAGAGGAAGTCAGAGCAGCAAGGGGCACTGGAGACCCTCCTGCCCAAACTCTCATTTCACCCATCAGTGGCCGAGGCTCAGAGACTTGGGAGCAGGGCCTGGCTCAGGGACACAGACCTTAGAAAATCTAAAAGGAATGTCTTCCCTGTAAACAACTGATAGGCAGGCTTGAAATCTGCTTAGCAATATCTTGGGGTTTTTTTTCTTTCTCAAGTCTCCATTCAGGGACTACCTTGTGCCAAAGGGCAGAACCCCCAGAGCTGCTGCCTCCAAGCAGGCACCCCTCCCTCCTGCGCCTGCGGCTGGAAGGGAGCCAGGGGTGAGCTGTCAGCACCTTCCAGCCACAGTGCAGCCCAGAGTTTGTTTGCATAAAGGGCCAGAGATTGATGGGCCCTGTAGGTCTAGCTTTTGCATTTGGGGGAAGAAAGTGTCTTGGTAAAAACAATAAGAATAGCAGCCTAAACTGAAAGGGACAAATGGCATTCCCTCAGAGCCCAGGTTCCCTTCCAACCCCCCACCCCCACACACCTCTGCACATATTTCTTGCTTCTCCGCGCTTGTCTGACACGCTGCCTCCAATGCTTATTTTGAAATATCGACTGAGAAAGCTCCGTAGGACTCTGTCATGTAGGCAAGCACTTCGGGCTCCCGTTTGAAGCAGAGGGCAGACAGACAGAAACGTGTCAAATTAGACAGGCCAAGAAAGGAAGAGGCCCCCGGCCTCAGGCAGGCCGCTGAGCTATGCCTCTCATCTGGCAGCCAGAAGCCTCAGGACTGCCCCGAGGGAGGCCCTGGGCTGCCCACAGGCTTCCCTGGGCTCCTGCCCCCTTATCAGCTTCTTCCTTGCTTCTGCCTAAGCTATCAGAGCCTTCAGCAGCCTGGACGTCAGAGCTAAGCACACAGCAGCTTCATGTTTGATTAAAAAGGAAGCTGGCCGCCTTCTCCACCTTCTCGTGTGCTGAAGCCTGTTTGGAGACCGTCATGGCCAGGCTGTGCACGGCACACCAAGCCGGGTCACTGGGAAGCCCGCCACCCCTGCTCACTGCCTCGAGTCCCCCTCTGTCTTCACCCCACACACACACTAAAAAGAAAAGAAAAGAAAAAAAGGTTAGACGAAAATGAACTGGTACTCATAACTGAGAGGACAGAGCACTTTAAGTGTGATGTCCAATGTATTTTCCCTGCTTCCCCCTCTATCTGCTGTTTAATGTGATGATCTGAGTTTTATTTATATATTATAAAAGGCACCTATTTGTGTTTCTTGATTAGTATTAGTATTAGTACTTCTTGATTAGTACCTGCAAAGCAAATTATACATTTCCACTTGGATAAGTAAGCATAAGGGGCCAACCTTTAGTATAACAAACATTTATTAAGCACCTCCTCTTACTAGCTTCTGTGTTAGAACTCTGGACACACAAAGATGGAAAGGACACACCTACCTCCTATAAGCTTACATTAGTCTCGATCTCCCACTCTCTGAGAGGACACATATCGTCCTAATCAGTGTTCAATTCTCAAATCACTTTTTTTCAAAGAGGGAGGAGGGCACCTAAGTACCTGCATATATCTACACAAGTTTTGGGGATCTAAACATTTAGAAGAGAAGAGCAAATCTATTTTACACAACTAGAAGCCTTAAGCTTTCACAGTGCTTATGGTTGAGTGCATGATACATATTTCTTAGCTATGAACTGTAAAAGTGGAACAAAACAGAGCTCTATTAGATATTTGATGTATTGAAGGAACAGGCAAAGGATTAAGGGGTGAGCAAGGTCTCAGTGTCACCTTGTGGGTAGGTAGAAGGGGCTTGGATAGGGAGTTAATAAGAAAATTCAAGAAAGCAATGATAAGATCAACCAAGATGGAAGGATAGATCAGTGATATTAGAGTGGAATATAAAAGGGCTGTATGAAATAGATCTCTGTTTGTATTTATGCTTATTAAAAAATTAAAAGGCAAACAACTTCACTAATATTTAACAAATAGATTGTCAATAGTACATGAATATACTATATATGCATATATATGTATATATGTGTGTATGTGTATGAAATGCTTGCTCAAGAATTTATTATTAATAGTCTACATAAGCAAAAAATGTAAAGGAGCCACTGATGGATAAGAATACATACAGATAAAAGTTAAGGTCAAAAACGGCATGTTGCAAATAGTAAAGTGAGGATAGAATAAGAGAATCAACATCAAAGTTCATAGCTGGGTAAATAGAATCCAATCAGTGCCCAAAGATGGCCACTGAGTAGTTGTTCCCTCTCTGTGGGCACATGTTGTTCTACCCTTCAAGAAGTAAAGCCTACTTCCCCTCCACTTGAAGCAGGGCTGGCTTTGTGACTTTCCCTGACCAATAGAATATAGCATAAGTGACGTTCTGGAACTTGCATGCCCAGGCTGTTAGAGGACTGGTAGGTGCCACTTTCTGCCTCTGGGAAGCCAGCCACAATGCATGAAGACTCACCACCTGAGATTGCGAAGCTCAAGTCAGCCACCTGGGCAGAGAGAAGCCATGTGGAGGGGCACCCAAGCACCAGACATGTGTGTGAAGCCACTTCGGATTTCTTACCCCTGCCAGCCACCAAGTTAATGGAGCCGAGTGACCCAGGGGACAACACAGGGAGTAGAACAGCCCCGCTGAGTCTGCCCTGAATTCCAAACCCACAGAAATGGGGGGCAAGTGGGGGAGGGGAATTGTTGTTTTAAGCCACTAAGAGATAATCCACAGCAAGAATTAATGAAACAGTCATATCTTACAATTCAGGCATTAGCCCTGGAAACACACATATTTACCAACACTCCTCTTCTTACATGTTGCCACCTTAGACAGGAAAAGCAAAATTCTGACGGTCAAGAATAAGCAGTTAGAGAAAGCCTAGGGCTAGGAAAAGCTCAGTAGACATGAGACAGCACAGCAAATTAGCAAAGTATTGTTTTAAAAGAAAAAATTGGTACAAAACACTTAGGGATTTTGGTATTTTACAATATCCAGCAATGTAAGCACTGGTGATTTTCTCTCTTTTGTCAAACATTTTCTCTCTTCAATCCTTTGGGGTGGTTTCTTTCTTCAGCTACATAGGTCAACTTGTCTGTTGTTTGCTCCCTTCTTATTGTTAGGGCTGAAAGCCTGGGAAATACATTTCCCAGCATCCCTTGCCAGCAGAGTTTCAAGTCTTGCAGACAACCACAGGTACTTGCATAACATTTGGAAGGGAGAAGAGACAGATGTAAAAGCCACATTGTGGCTCCTCTCTCGGAATTAGGCAGATGTGTGGGATTCAGCAGCTATCAGAGTTTGTATGAGCTCCAGCATTTCCCTGTGAATCATCCACCTCAGTGGTGGAAGCAGGTGAGGTCACAACCAGCAGTGTCCTGTAGTCCCCAAACTTCCTGCTCCGTAAAGCTAGCAGCGAACTTGAAAGCTTGGGGCTTTCCCTGACCTTCGTGCCTCTAGCCCTTCCAGGAGTTTTGTATGCAATCATTGCTTGTATTGCATTCCTTTCCTGCCTGAAATACCAGGAATGGTTTTTGTTTTTCCTCACTAATTCCTATTATATAAGTAAATCTCATAATGAAAGTCTCCCCCATTCTTTCTTTCCTTTCTACTCTTTCTTTTCTTTCCTGTGTTTCTTTTTCTTTCCTCCTCCTCCTCCTCTCCCCCCCTCTTCTTTCACAAACAACTACGGATCTCTTTCATATAATTTTATGTAACAACATTGACTAGAATAGGAAGAGAAAATAATAAAAGGTGTAGTTGAGGCTCTAGGGTCAGGAGAAATTAGCATTTTTTCTTCCAATTAATCAAAGTTGTATAGGTAGGGTGACAGTGACCAAGTTTAACAAACGATAACAGGACACCTGGTTCAATTTGAACTACAGATAAACAACGTGGTAGGCAGAACAATGTCCCACAGAAGATGTTCCTCACCTAATCCTTGGAATCTGTGCATGTGTTACTTTCCACATTCACAGAGGACTTTCAGAGTAAGCACGTGAGCCTGGAAATGGGGAGAGTCTCCAGGACCATCCAGCAGGATCCAATCTAATCAGATGCGCCCTTAACACTGGGGAACTTTTGCCAACTACAGTCAGAGGGAGGTGTGAGCAAGGAAGAGCTGGGAGGGTGGGGGGAGCTGCCACACTGCTGCCTTGGAGGACGGAGGAAGAAGGCCACATGCCAAGGAACCTGGGTGACCTCAAGAGCTGAAAAGGTAATAAAATGATTGTCCCCTAGAGCGTGAATGTAGCCCTGCTGACACCTTGGCTTCAGCCCATGTCAGGCTTCTGACCTCTATACCAGTAAGGTAATGCATTTTAATAATAATTTGCTATAGCCACTGCAGAAAATTAATACAAACAACAGGTAATTTTTTTAAAAATCCTCACCCGAGGATATCTTTCCATTTATCTTCAGACAGAGCATGAAAGGGGGAGAGAGAGAGAGAGAGAGAGAAAGAAAGAAAGTAACATCAATGTGAGAGAGACACTCAATTGGTTGCCTCCCCCAGGACCACAACCAGAGCCGGGGACGAACCACAACCAAGGTACGTGCCCTTGACCGGAATCGAACCCGAGGCTCATTGGTCTGCGGTCCAACGCTCTAACTGCTGAGCCAAACAGGCTGGGGCCAAACAACAGATACTTTTTAAGTATAAGTATGGCCCAGGCGATATTTAGGACATAATTATACTAAAAACTCTATTTTGCAATTAAAATGTAACCGTGAGTCCTGTATTTCACCTGGCAACCCGATTTATAGGAGTGGGATTCCAGAGCTCTTTTGCATCTCTGCCTAGAAACCTATATGAGGTTTTGGCACTTAATTGTGTGAAAAACACTTAAACTAGGCAATTTACCTATTTCATTTGATCTTCATAACTCTTTGGTGTAGGTATTATTGCTATTTTATAAATGAGGTGAGCCTATGCAAAATGAAACAATTTGTTCAGTGCAGATTTTCGGCAGTGGCCGAGCCGGGCTGGGGCAGGTCTGGGACTCTCAGGCACAGTACCTGCGTTATCTCTGTCTGGCTTGCCAGGCTGTGGCTCCGGGTCTCAGCTGCTGTCGCTGCTGGAGCCCCCACGGCCAGCTTCCTTCCGCTGCTTCCACTCTCCCCGCCCACTCCCTCCTGCAGCCCAGGCAGCTGCGTTCTGCCCCACCTCTTGCACGCCATCGAAACTGCTTTCCCAGAGGTCCCTGCTGCCATCGTCTCTCAGTCACCCTTCTCTTTACCCTCACTGCAGTATGTGACAGCGTAGTCTTCCTCCTCCTTCCAAACATGCTTCCCTCCCCTCCCCCCAGACACACAGACACTGGGTTTTTATGTTATAATGCTGAATCTCCTTCTGCCACTCTGATTAGTCCTTCCTGTGATGGCTAATTCTGTGTGTCATCTTGACTAGATGAAGGGTGGACAGATAGCTGGGAAAACATTATTTCTAAATGTGTCTATGAGGGTGTTTCCAGGAGATTAGCATTTGAATCGGTAGACTGAGTCAAGGTCATCCTCACCAGTGCAGGTGGGCATCGTCCAAACTGTTGAGGGCCTGAGTAGAACACCACGGTAGAGGACGGGCGCGCTGCTCTCTGCCTGAGCCAGAATATGCATCTTCTTCTGCGACCGGACATTGGCACTCACGGTTCTCCAGCCTTCGACCTTGTGCTGGGACTTCCACCATTGGCTCCCTGGTTCTCAGGCTTTGGGCTTGGA